GAAGTATGTGTACCTATGATTAAGACATTTGTGAGCCCTGCAGATGACCAATATTTCACTGAACTGAAAACTCCTGTGACTACGACTTTAGCTATGTCCACAAGTAGAGATATATTAAATGAACTTATGAACAGGACTAATAATTATAAGAAACTCATTAGAATTTTAAGTTTTATTTTTAGATTTATTTACAATGCCAGAAATTCCAAACATAAACGTCAGGGTCTCCTGGATTTAGAAGAACACGTCGAGGCTCGAGATATCCTCATTCGAGACACTCTCATTCGAGATTCGCAGGTAACAGTATTTTCCCTGAAGAGCTCTCGGCTCTAAAAAGAGGTCTACCAATCTCCAACAAGAGTAAGTTAAAATCTCTTAATCCCTTCTTGGATAAGAAAGGTTTAATACGTGTAGGAGGCCGTTTAAGTAGCTCCAACTTGAATTACAATCAAAAAATATCCCATCATCCTCCCCCCAGACAGTAGATTCACGAAGCTCATAATGGAATACTTCCACAAAAGAGATTTACATGTAGGGCCGCAGTCTCTTTTACATAGTGTACGTCAACAGTTTTGGCCTATCAATGGCCGCAACTTAGCCAGAAAGGTAGTTCATGAATGCCTAACTTGCTTTAAAATGCATCCCACTGCAGTGACTCAATTAATGGGTAATCTTCCGTCTGAAAGAGTATCACCAAGCCCGCCATTTACCAATACGGGCATTGACCTTTTGCGGTCCTTTTCAAATCAAATACAAGGGGCAGAGAAAGGGCATTTTGCAAAGGATTTATATTGTATTTTTGTCTGTCTTGCTACTAAAGCTGTTCATTTCGAATTTCTGACAGACCTTACTTCTGAGTCTTTGATTGCTGGCTTAAAAAGATTTTTTGCCTGACGGGGTAAGAGTTCAGCAATTTTTTCAGACAATGCAACGAATTTTGTAGGTGCACGTTCGGAATTACAACGGTTGGAAAAGTTGGTAACACAATCAGAATTTGGAGTAGCTAGCTATTTAGCTTCAGAAGGCATTGTTTGGAAGTTTTCTTCCACCTAGAGCCCCTAATTTTGGAGGTCTCTGGGAGGCCGCCGCGTTAAATCGTTTAAACACCATCTGAAACGAACTAACTGTTGGTAATGCTAAGCTTACACTAGAAGAGTTTCTGACTGTTTCTATTCAAATAGAGGGAATTCTGAATTCACGTCCTTTAACTCCATTATTCTCTGAAGTTACAGATTATGAAGTCCTCATCCCTGGGCATTTTCTGATTGGACGCCCATTAAATGCCATGGCAGAACCTGATGTATTGCATCTAAAAGAAAACAGGCTGTCTCGTTGGCAAAAAACTAATAAGATGATTCAGTCAATTTGGAAAAGGTGGCATCGAGACTACCTTAACCACTTGCAGCCCCCCCGGGTGAGTGATATATCAGTAACGATCTTGATTCTTTGCGATTCATAGCGACCTATAGCCATTGTGGGAAGAGTTAGTTGCCTAACTCAGGCTTTTATTACGAATCATTTGCTAAATATCACTTCCGCGAGTCCGGTACTTTGACGTAGTCGGGGGCTCCCTCCTAGGAGGGTCCAAAGCCGGACTCATCTTTTCTCTCTGGTGTGAACCTCAGGGTACCAGAGAAAACCAGTGCCCAAGCGTTCGAGTGAGATTATCTATAAAGATTTTATTTAAGTGCATAATTTGCTAAAAAAATGGAAAGCAATACCTCCATAAATGAGAGTATGAACTCTAAGGACTTCTTAACGAAGCCAACAAATCTATGGACAGAATGAACATTGTGTTAGAACATGATAATATTCCCATAGACTGTGGTAGGGAAATAAGACATATATTTACATATATGTTTAATATTCTAACTGAACAATGTGTAAAAATGGCTGAGATAGAGGGAAAAGCAGAACTGACCGACAAGTTCAGAAAGGCGGAAACCTACGCTCAAAAAGGCGCCAGAGGAGCAAAACTACAAAGACAGAGATCGAGATCCCGATCTTCGTCAAAGAGACGTAAGCAAGAAGAAGAACATGTAGTAATGGTCTATCCAAAGTCAAAAAAGAAACGTCAGACCAGAAGAAAAATAGGGTAGTGAAGCATATAAACCCAACCAAACTTAAGGTTGGAATAAAGAAAGTGAAAAAGATCAATAAAGGAGGCATATTGATCGAAGTTTCAAAGAAAGAAGAAATGGAACTGATAGAGGAGGCTATCAGAGAAAACGAAGCATTGAAAAACACTATAGACGTAAAACGGCCCAAGAAAATAAACCCGAAAGTGATGGTTTACAACGTAAGTGAAGAAATCGATAAAGATTCCATAGTGGAAATCATAAAAACACAAAATACGGAATACGAGGACTCAGAAATAGAAGTAAAGTTTCCTATGAAAGGGAAGTATGGAAACAATTGGGTCTTATCGGTAGATCCTGATACCTTCAGACTTATGACGAGGAACTAGAGGGTGAATCTGCAGTGGACAAGGAACACTGTTAGAGAATTCTTCCGCGTGACACAATGTCACAACTGGTTTGGATTCGGACACATAAAGCGATTTTGTAAGGAAGAAACTAAATGCTCCAAGTGTGGAGAGACCGAGCATTTGAAAGCTGCTTGTGAGGCTGAAGAAGCTAAGTGCAACAATTGTACCAAGGCAAACGAAAGATTCAAACTGGATTTGAAGGCAAACCATGACGCAAAGTCAAAATCGTGTAGCTGCATGAAGAGAGAAGTGGACATCCTAAAAAGAAAAATAAATTATGGGTAAATTTCTTATTACACAAATTAATACCCAGCACTGTCAGAGTGCAAATATACAGTTAAGCGTAGATATAAGCAACGATGACACGATAGTGACTTGCGTACAAGAACCTTACTCGTATAAAGGGAAGATTGTATGCTTCCCAATGCGATACAAAACGTATCACTCATCAGACCATCCAAAAGCAGCAATCATAGTTTCAAACCCGAGTCTCTCAGTCTTGGAGATTCATAACACGGAGTTTCTAGTTACGGTTCTGATTTCGGGAAGTTCCCCATTTATAATGGGTTCAGTATACTGCCCGCCGTCTCATCCGCTCGATGCAATACTCAATGACATTGATATGATAGTCAGGAAATATGATGACACCACGGTTATTCTCTCTGGAGACTTTAACGCAAAGATTCCGCTATGGGGGCCCTTCCCAGCGGATCCAAGAGGCATTCAAATTTGTGACTTTATAGCCGCAACAGGATTTACGATCTGCAACGATCCAACAAGTTTGGCAACTTGTACGGCAAATAGAGGTGAGTCCTGGGTAGACTTAACTTTAATAAGAAGCTGCAACAACCTAAATGTGATAAATTGGACAGTAAAAGATAAGACGACGTTATCGGATCATCGGAAAATCACATACGAACTATCAGACGTCACCCTAACAAACCCAATATCACCTAGACTCAAAATAGGAAGAACAAACTGGATCGATTTAAGAGTGAAACTTGCAGAAAGTCTCTCGCAACATGCAAACCTTGGTTCAAAAAGAACTATAACAGAGACAATTAAGAACGTAACTAAAGCTTTGCATAATACTTACAAAGACACTCAACAGTCTCAGAGAGATAACCTTCCACGTCGTAAATCCCACCCATGGTGGAATAAGGAACTATCAATCCAAAGAAAGAAAGTGCGAGCGATGAGAAGGAGATATCAATCTCAAATATGGAACGATGACGAAAGGGCGGTGCTAAGACAATGTTACAGAAAGGAAGAAGCAATATATAAACGTAATATTTATTATGCAAAATTGGCAACATGAAATAGTTACTGGGAGAACCTATCTCCAACAACTCCCTTTGGTACCTATTACACTATTGCAAAAGGTAAATGTCTAGCCCCGCTCCAACTCTGTAAAATTAAGAAACTAAATGGGATATTTACAGCGGATGCATACGAGACGATTGAGTATATAATAGACTTTCACTTCCCGAAAGACGACCGTAACACGGATACTGAAAGTCACAGACTGATGAGAGAGAAAGCCAACCAAATACCTAACTCAAACAACGATCTCAATTTCAACCACCACGAGATCGAAACGGTATTGAAGACGGCAAAGAAAGGGCGTATGCCTAGAAATAGGCTACTTTCCAAAACCATGGAAAAATGCCAACTTAGTCCTCTTCCCAAAGGAAGGTAAAGACCGTAGTGACCCGCGAGCATACCGACCAATATGTCTTCTCTCCTCATGGGGAAAAATACTTGATAAACTCTTAGCGAAACGGCTTACTCACTATCTCATCAGCAATGACTTACTCAATCCCTTACAATTTGGATTCACCCCTGGAAAGAGCACAATCGACGCTCTAGAGAATCTTGTTAAAATTATTCGTAATAATCATAGACGTAACTGACATACATGTATGATATCCTTAGATGTGGCGTCAGCTTTTAATAATCTGTGGTGGCCAGGTCTCCTAGCCACACTTATAGACCTGAATTGTCCAAAGAACCTTTTCCTTCTCTTGAAGGATTACCTAAATGATAGAGAAATCACTTACAGTAGAGATGGAGTTAATATAACAAAACCCTACTTCAAAGGAGCACCTCAAGGTTCCAACTTGGGACCTGTATTATGGAACATTATAGCTAATACAGCATTAAATTTGGACCTCGGGGAAGAAGTAGTCCTACAAGCCTATGCGGATGATTTCGTCCTTATTATAGGAGGAGGAAATAGGCTGGAGATTGAGAGGAAAGCGAGTCGAGCACTCCAAGTACTAGAAATATGGAGTCAAAAATATAAACTGGACTTTAGTAAAGAAAAGACTCAGATGATTACCTTCCCGAAAGGTTCCAAACTAGTGAGAAATCCACCAAGGCTCAAGTGGATGAATACATCAATTCGGAACAGAGATACTCTGAAATACCTAGGGCTCTTATTGGACAAAAAAGCTGACATGGATCCCACATCTAACGGAAATGCGCAATAAAACTCATGCCTAAGTGGAATATGAAAGGCAAAATAATGAAGCAATTGTATACGAGGGCTATTGAAAGATTGATCCTGTACGGATGTCCCATCTGGTGGCATCATACAAAGACGGTTCGAGTTTCGAATAAACTTCTTCAAATCCAGAGAATAGTACTGTTAAGTATTACAAAAGCGTTCAGTACATCTCCAACAACAGCACTTCAAGTGCTGGTAGGTGCTCTCCCACTAGACCTCAAAGCGGACCAAGAGGCTAAGACGTTCATACTAGTGCATTTCAAAGAAGTTCCTATCAATACTGGACCTATCTCAGGAGCAGAGATAGAGGAAAAATTTGATATGGGCACAACCCATCCAGCTGAAGCTCGGATGATTAACTGGCATAAAGAACTACCCACTGGGTCTTGTGTGGAGATCTTTACAGACGGCTCGAAGACTCAGGAGCGAGTCGGTGCGGCATTCGTAGTGTACGATAATAAAATAGAAATAACGACTCAAAGGATCAGATTAAAAGACAGTTCCTCAGTATTCCAAGCGGAAGCAATAGCCCTCATATCGGCATTCATATGGATAAATGATTATCTAAAGCATGGCAAGAGGCCGATTAACGTTTTCTCAGACAGCCAAAGTGTCCTCAAGTAAAACAAACGCTCAGTACAAAACAAACGCTCCTCATTAAAGCACTAAAGGAGCTCATCACAACAGAAAAGACATTCAAGACAATAAACCTGAATTGGATCCGTGGACATATAGGAATTGACGGGAATGAAGCAGCAGACCAAGCTGCGAAAGAGGCTTCAAATAAGGCAGAAGTGGACTGTCTACTACCAACTCCAATCTTGGCTGCGAAAGACAGAATCCTAAAGGATGCGATACAAAGCTGGCAAGAGAGATGGGACAACTCAGAAGCGGGACGACAGACTTATGAGTACTATCCAAAAGTCTCCCTGAAAAGATTAAGGACTGACTTTCCATTAGTCATGGCTATAACCAATCATGGGAAATTCCCTTCCTACTTTAAACGCTTCTTAAGGAGGAATGTCAGATGCGGCTGTGGACTTGAAGCAGAAAGAGGAGATGCAAAACATCTAATATTCCGTTGCCCACTACTTTCAGAAATCAGAAAGGAGCATCTTCCAGGATTTGCAGAAAGACTCCCATCACAAGAGCTGTTCTACAATTCATTATGCGCCAAACGAATAAAACTCATGATGAATTATGTCATCAAAAACGAGGATAGAATAATTGTGGATACCTGATCGGCTGAGTAACTGTAGCAAATCAACTTTACATCTGTAAATGGCTAATATTGTAACGAAGCATCTTTCCATCTGTTAACACAGAGTGGAGACTCTATTGTATATATGTAAATATTGTATGTATTTTCCTAATTTTGTTATGTATTTCTAAATAAAGGACCAGTGGGTCCCGATGGCGAGGTCAACAGATCTTCCAGACAGAGGGGAAGTGTCTTGTCCGGCACGCCCTCAGCCTTGATAGGCCGCGTGGTACTAGCGTACGACCGGCCGCTGTTTCGGCTTTTTCGGCAAGAGGTGTCTAAATTTCTCACTCCCCGCATGTCCTTAAGTGGACGGGGCGGAGTACAAAATTATTATTAATAACCACTTGCAGCAGCGCAATAAATGGCAGTTTGCCAAGATAAACGTAAACTCTGGCGCCCTTGCTTTACTCAAGGAAGATAATTTGCCTCCTTGTAAATGTTCTACATGTCGTATACAGGAAGTACTACATGTCGTAACCGGACCTGATGGAAAGGTCAGAGTAGTTATAGTTAGAACTCCTACCGGCACATTCAAAAGGTGCATATCCAAAATATGTCTGCTACCCATTGAATAATAATACGTATCAAAATCGTAAAAACAACCTTGTATTTAGCGTAAGTATATTGAAACACTCAATCGATTTCGAGGGCAGCTAAAGGTCCCTCATCATCAGGAGAAAGAAATACATAGAAAGAAGAAAAATAAAGGGGAAGGAGTCTCAGAAACACGTGGTCCTTATCATCACTGCACGTGGTTATAACCGGATTTTTAATCAGAGTTACACTGGCTGCCTACTTTTACTGAGCCAAGGCTATCTGATCAAACATGTAACACAAAGGACAAGAAAAATTAGCGAAGTTGAAAATAGGGAGCGAGGGGCAACAGAACCTTCACGCTCAAAATCTGAGCTTCGAATAATGGAAAGTAACACTGATTAAAAATCCGGTTATAACCACGTGCAGTGTTGATAAGGACCACGTGTTTCTGAGACTCTTTCCCCTTTGTTTTCCTTCTTTCTAGGTATTTCTTTCTCCTGATGATGAGGGATCTTTAGCTGCCCTCGAAATCATTTGAGTGTTTTAATATACTTACGCTAAATACAAGGTTGTTTTTACGATTTTGATTGTCACATTAGCGTGTTTCTCTTCTAGTCTAATAATACGTATGTTTATTTGATGAACCTCATTAATGTAGAATCATATTATATTAGATATTATCATTTTCTGTAACTGTATAAATGTTTATTCTATTATATCCCAGAATTCGCTATGTCCTAATGGATATTCTCATTTTAATAGTATTATATTATACTTTACTATGTTATAAGTCTTATGTTGTATTGAAATATAAATATTTCAACGCGGGGCGGGATGTTCCGTCCCATCCTATTGTTGCAACATTCATCTCACTAGAGGCGCTGCGACGCCCCCCTTTTAACCGACAGAACTTCTGTAGACCGCGAACAGAGCGGTTGTTCTTTTTGGGCTCCTGCGCCATTTCTTTGTAATAGCCATCAGCGCTAGCAAGAGCGTTCAGTTCTGATCATTCAGGCCCCTGTGCGTTTCTATTGATGAATAAACCTTTATAATTGATTAAAGTTCATTATTCTTTCGACGGATCTCAATCTCTAACAGCTTGCTTCATGTCTTCAAGGGTTTACCCGGTTCTAAACAGAATAATTCTGAAAATTCAGCTCTTCGTACAATTATAAACTTCACAAAGTTCTTCAGTAAATAAATAACCCTTTATACGCTCTGCAGGTAACTTACTACAATTATTTTTAAATCTGAAACACCACTTTAACACTCGACATAGTTTTAACTATGATGAAAACTTCGAAAATACGCTCTTCAAAATTGAAAACATTTGAAATAAAACTCTTTTTCACTTCCTTTAACATAACCTCATTCTCTAATTCCAGATTTATTTAACCACTACGGTCCCTTCATCCATAACTCGCATTGTAAGAATTCTGATTGAATAAGATCTCTGGTCCCACAGTCTGCAGGATTCTTCTTTTTCAGAGCTCTATTGAATACCTGGAAGAGTTTCCTGAATCTTCGCAACCCGGTTTGCTATAAAAGGTAGCTAACGGCGAGGCTCAGACGAAACCCAAGCCAATGTAACCCTGAGTTGGTCCATGCGTAAATACTGTTAATCTGCAGTTCTATGTATGATGATACTACATTTAAGAGGTTGGTTAAAAGTAACGCATCACATAACTCTAGTCTTGGAAGAAACTGGTTTTTAAAAGACCTAGTCTGGTTTTTGATGTCAGAAGGCTAACCTTGACTGAAGAATCAGAGCTGATTGTTCTGAGATACATGACTGCACAATAAGTTTTTTCTGAAGCATCACAAAAAGCATGAATTTTTATTATTATTGCCTTCGGACTCAAGACATTCCTCGGAATTTGTAAGCTTGATAATAAGGGCAATTCTAGGTAGAAACATTTCCACATTCTACTTATTATCTTGTCAACAATTTCATCCCAACCAAGCTGTAAACTCCACAACTTTTGTAATAATATTTTTGCGTATATCATTGTTGGCGCTAACCCTCCCATTGGATCAAAGATTCTGGCTACCTCTGATGAAATACTCCTCTTGGTAAACTTCTTATCATTTATGCATTCCTAAAAATTAAATGTATCACTAGAGGTATTCCAATTAATGCCCAATATTTTCACTTTCTTATCACTAGTTATTTCCAGAGAAGTACTGGATTCTCGCAAGCACTGAGGAATATTTCTCAAAAGTAGCTGAACTGTTCGAAATGCATTTCCTTAAGCGGAATCCACCCTTTTCCATTATTTCATTTGGCCCAAAAGCGGCCGAGTGGTAAAGTCGCTGAACACTGGTAATTCGGTCCGAGGTTGGAATCCCGCGAACGGGCTGGCTGCATGGGTGTTTCATGGTTTTCCCCATGCGTAACGTGTACAAGAGCCAGTTTCTCTTAGAAAGAAGGCATCCCTCCCCTTAGGCATTCCTGCACGAAGGCATCCCTCCCCTTAGGCAGATAGCCCTAGTGTGCTTTGCCATAATTAAATACACACCATCATTTCATTTAATTGCTGAACTAAAACATTTGCTTCCTCTTCACTTCGTGCCCCTGAAAGCAAATCATCTACATTAAAGTCGCGAAAGGCAATTTTTGATGCCAAAGGAAATCTGGCTTGAAAGTGATTTCATTATTCTAGTAGAAAAATATGGTGCACTGGCACCCTCGATAGATTTCGTTGCCAATTTGTATCTTCTGAGTGGACACGAATTTGTCTGAAGCTCTTCTCTACATCGGCACATACCGCAATTTTGTAGATTATGAACCTTAGAAGAACTGGAAATAGCTTTTGCTGAACTCTTGGCCCAACCTTCAAAAACTCATTTAATGAAAGGCCCGACATTGTTTTAGCTGAAGCATCGAACACGACTCTCAGTTTAGTAGTGGTACTTGACTCCTTCAACACGGCATAATGAGGCATGTAATATGTAGAACCAATAAAAAATCTCTCTCCGGCACTCTTTCCATATGTCTCAGCTAAAGGTATTCCTTCATGAAATCCTTACAATGTTCATATATCTGAGGCCTTTTTAAAAGTGAATTTTCTAAAATCCTGAATCTAGGCATAGCTAACTGTCTCGAATCTCCAAGATGACTAGGTGGAGAATGAAACGGTAAATTCACAGTATATACACCTCTTGTAAATGTAGATTTGAGGTGATCATCGCATGCTCTCTCCGATTTGGTAAGCATATCAAATGTAGGTATAGCATCCAATTTCCAAAAGTTAGACAGCAACTGCTCAGTTTCCACTTGTATATTATTCACACGGATAGTGGGCTTAACCTTTGTTGAGTTATTCACAGTACCCGAAATAATCCATCCTACTTCAGAACGAGAGGCTATTGGTTTACCTTCTTTGCATTTAATCGTTTCCCCCTTCAAAAGAGGTAAAGCGATATCTACGCCTAAAAGTATATCAACAAGCCCACTCTTAATCTAATGTAAAGTGCGGCAATGTTCAAAGAATTCTGTTGATGATAAATAATGGTGTTGTAAATGACACTTTTGCTGGAAAATGCGGAACGAAATTTATTTCCGCAATTCCATTAGTTTTCATATCCAGTGTCCCTGAACATGAAATAAAAACTTTGGCATTTGTTCTCGGTAACTCTAGTCTCTGTACACATTTTTCTGAAATCAGGCTTGTTTGACTGCCTGGATCAAGTAGTGCTCTACACAATTGGTATTCACCAGATGAATTTAACACTTTAATCGCAGCTGTGCATAATAAAACTTCACGCTGTCTAATTAAAGACTGATACACGATATTTAATTACTGGACCAGAACTCATGATATCGTCCCCTGACTTAGCCGACTGAGTACGAGATTCTGGCCCGAGGAAAAATGGCCGTCACCAATAATTCGTTCGAACTATTCGTAACTCCTTTAGGCGGTTTTGGCTCATTTTGAACTCTTTCGAAATGCAGTAATGTGTGATGATTTTTAAAGCACTGTTTACATTTATGAATATTTCTACACTCGAAAGCTTTATGATTTGAAACTAAACAATTAAAATAAACATTGCTTTTCTTGACAAAATTAATACGCTTCTGCACATTCAGATTTAAAAACGTATTACATTTTAATACTGAATGACTGGCTTTACAATATATACACTGCTCGTGAATCTCTGAAGCCAGTGAGGTTAATTTATCGCTTACAAATTGTTTTTTAACACTTTGTGGCTTACCTGCTTGCAAAGTTCTGGCATGAGATTTTAAGAATTCTATCAAGTCATTAGGGGTTGGTATTTCCTCGCGCTTTAATGTTCTTTCCCGCCATCCTCTTGTAAAAGAATATAATTTAAATTGTACTATTATTATTAAAATAGTATCCGCGAATTGTTGAACTTTCAAACCCAAATTCTCAAATGAACATACACATTTTCTTAAAGTCTTTAGCGATTAAATTG